GGGATCTGCATAGACACAGGAAATGGCAGCTTCTTTGCTGACTTTGATTTTTAAAGAACCCTTGAGGTTACGGTATTCAAGCATGGGGGGAAAACAGTACTAAAATTTCAGAACCCAGGAGTCCATATTTAGACATCAGCTCTCCAGTAGGATGAAATGAGGTTTCCTTCAATCTTCAAACACCAGCATAAATTTTTAGGTGAGTGGGATTCTGCCTACCTTCCATATAAATAGAGATTCAAAAAGGGGTGCATGTTAAAAGAATGAGAAAACAATTCCCAGTAGTAGCATCAGCAGCAGTAGGTGAGGTAGGTTTAAATATAAGCCAGTATTTCCAGACTAACTAAGCATTTGTCAGTAGTTGCCTTCCAATATCAAATGTACTGCCAAGAAGTGTGGGCAATATCTTCAGCAAGGGGTGATCATTTGCATTTCTGAGGCATGCATTTGCATATTAGTTAAGACTACATTGAGGGCCACTTAGATATATCGCATTTCCAGCCTGTTCCCATGCGGAAGGGATCTTAGTCCCTATTAAACATTGCGAGCATTATTTTGCAACAGTAAACACCTACTTATGTCAGCCACCAGCAGCTTCTTAAATAAATCTTGAAGCATTTAGAATAAAGTTGAGAATAAACTTTGGTTTCCCATCCACAAGTATGGGATTCAAAGAGCTACTTTAGATGTGCCCAAGAATGTGGCATGCACAGTAGGATCTAATTCTTCTTTTAAGAACAGATTAATTTTCAAAAAGCAGTTTGCCATGCTGCATAATTCCTTTCAACCCACAAAATTATTTGTATGAATTTTTTTAACCCCAGTCCTAGAGATGCTTCCTGTTTCAAAGTCTTCAGAGTATAGTGCCATTCTAAAATTAGGAGACTTAACAATACAGTAAGAGCTATAAATTTCTCCCTTCCCATCTCTCACAGATGAAAGCTGTCAGACCATATGTGACAAAGAAGTGCTTTAGGTATCAGCCATACAGTTGTCCATTCCTGAAACTAAAACATGGTTTGACATTGCCTGCTGTATCCACAAAGATATATAACACCCCAATACAAAATTTAACAATGGTGAACTGAAGTACACCAAAGAACTTCCTTGGGGAAACCTCTGTAAGGACCTGGATGGAGGAAACGTTCTCTTAATCTCCACCTGCACATCTTGGGACCCTGAGATGGGAAATTATCAAGAAATTCTGCATCATCTTCTTAATGACTGCATGCAAGCCTTGGCAGATGACCCGTTATCAAATGAGCCAAAAGATTATATAATATACCAATAGATCCACTTTTCCTTTGCTTCTCCTCCCACAGAAACATGCCCACCTTCCTCCTTTTACAGATTCCACAAGCCCCCCCCCCCCAAGTGCTGACCAAGGCACTGAGGCTAGCAGAGACTGGGAATGGGGGTGTTTCATATGGAGAGCAAACAGATAACAGAATTGACAAGTCTATTTGCCTCTCATCCATCGATTGCCAGTGAAGGGATTTGGGATGCTGAATTCAGCTTGGATAACTGACATTCAACTCCACTTTTCTCCTTTCCCTGTGTAAAAATTGTAAACAAGTAGGAAATCAGAACATTTTCTATAAAAACAATACTACAAAAAACTATACTCCCCTTACTCCTAACCCTGCCTCCCTCCCACCCCCCCGCAACTGAGACTAGCAATTTCAGTTAAAAGCTGACACCCTTACACGGAGCTTTTATTCTTCTTACTGAATGTTCATTATCCTTCTTGCTGCATTTCCAGTGTAACTGCTTAAAATCTCCTGCTGGTTCCCTACAGACGTCTTTTGTACAGTTAATATGCAGCCCACCCTCTGTGCTGCAAGGGAACAAGTAACCAGTTTATTATCTAATCAGAGACAAAAAAAAGCCACAGGGAGGAGTTTCTTCAGAGAAGAAAGCCGTCATCTCCTGCTTTTGGGAACTTTTCACAAGACCTTCAAGGTATGTCTTCTGCAGAGGCATACACACAATTTCTTTTTTTAAGTCAATTGTCAAGCAAGATGGGGAAATGTCATCAAATAAATAAAATCCATAAAGGAGTCTAAAATATAAGTACCGCCAAAGGTTAGCTTCAAGACTCGATCGAGCAGCATCCTCATTGTGAGGCAAACCTTCTGCCAAAGAACTGGATACAGAAAGAGGAAGAAGGCAGCACCCAGTTTGATTCCTTTCCACAAAGTTAGCACCTGATAGGACTGAGAACGCTGAGCATTTGGTCACTTTGAAGTCAGCTCTGGGTTAGGCCAATGCATGAGCATTTGGGGAAAGTGGAGGGGAAAGAGATCAAGCACTAGTGCCATCCTCTTCTATAACCCGGTTCATGCTTGTGCCATGTGTTATGTGAGTCACTGGATTGCCACTGAGGTCCCTGGTGCTGCTGTGACGTGACTGATCGTTGAGCCGGTGGGAACTGCTGTGCCTGGAGTGGTCAGTCAGTCGGGACATACTGCCGTGAGGTAGTCTATCTTCAAGCCCTCGGTAACTGCAGGGGGTATACCTAAATCATAAAAACTAATCTGTTTCAGTAACAGGACAGGCAACAGTGCGTGTACACACATCCATATAGGTACAGGGACTAACATTTTTACCCAAAATACATGCAACACAGATTAGCAAAGCCTGGTTAGGGAATGGACCACAGCTCACTTACTTTACTTGCATAATGTCCCAGATTCAACACTTTGTTTCAAAATTCTTCTTCAGTTAACTAAATACAAGCAAAGAGAAACTAAAGCTGAGTACAAGCAAAAAGGACTGAGACATATGTTTATGTAATGCAGAAAAAATATAAAAATGATTCTACCTATTACAAGTTATCTCAGGTATAATTTTCAATACAACCAGGATATACACATCTCAGGAGAACATCCTATAAAGTAAGTATAATATTACTAAACAGAAACACCACCTCCAAAGAAAATGCATAAGCAACTTCCAAAGAGAACACAAAAGCAAAAAAAGCTTCCAAAGAGGATACATAAGCAAAAAAATAATAAATTACATACATGAGCAGCTTACCCTCAGAAGGATGGCCAACCAGTCACTAACCAAAGAAGAGAAGAAGAAGAGGAGAAGAGATTGGATTTATACCCCGCCCTTCACTTGGGAGTCTCAGAGCGGCTTACAAACTCCTTTCCCTTCCCCTCCCCACAACAGACACCCTGTGAGGTGGGTGGGGCTGAGAGAGCTCTGACACAAACTGCTCTTTCAGGAACAGCTGTGCCAGTGCTTGTGACCGACCCAAGGTCACATCAGCAGGTGCAAGTGGAGGAGTGGGGAATCAAACCCGGTTCTCCCAGATTAGAGTCCGCACACTTAACCACTACACCAAACTGGCTCTCAGAAACCTTACAGAGAAATTTTAACCCCTATTTTTGCTGCCGGTCTTGCCTCAAAATGATAACAAACTGTTAGGCTTGATATACAGTCACCAGAAAGGAGCAATTGCCTAACCTAGATATTAAAGGGACATACATTCACTACAGAAAACAAAAGAGTTCTAGAGGCTGATTTTCAATACAACCAGAATATACACATCTCAGAACAACATCCTATAAAGTAAGTATAATGTTACTAGACAAAAGCACCACCTCCAAAGAGAATGCAAACAGTTTCCAAAGAAATTACATAAGCTAAAAAAACACACATAAGCAGCTTACCCTCAGAAGAATCTGCAGTTTGTATAAATGGGTAACCAGTCATAAACCAAAGAAACCTTAGAAGGAAATATTAACACCAATTCCTGCTTTGCCTCAAAGTTAAGTAACAAATTGTTGGGCTTAATATACAGTCACTAGGATGGAGCAAGGCATTTCCTGGATATTAAAAGGACATACACCCACTATAGAAAACAAGAGAGTTCCAGAGACTGATTTAAATCCATGAAGCCTCTCTTTAGTATAATGTCTTTTGTAGATTAAATCTATTATAACTATTGCTGTTTGAAGTTTCTAAGACTAGAAATTTGAAGTCATTGAAGGCATGGCCCTTGTCAATAAAATGTTGTACAAGTGGAGATTCTACGTGTCATTGTTTGATACATGACTTATGCTCAATAATGCGTGTCTGTACGGATCATGTAGACATCCCCACGTAGTATGAATCACACCCACATTTAATCAGGTAGATGACCCGCTTTGGAAAACAGTTGGTAAAGGATTTTAAAGGTTTCTTTGGTTAGTGACTGGTTGCCCATCCTTCTGAAAGTAAACTGCTCATGTATGTAATTTGTTATTTTTTTACTTATATATCCTCTTTGGAAGCTTTTTTTGCTTTTGTGTTCTCTCTGGAAGTTGCTGATGCATTTTCTTTGGAGGTGGTGCTTCTGTTTAGTAATATTATACTTACCTTATAGGATGTTCTTCTGAGATGTGTATATCCTGGTTGTATTGAAAATTATACCTAAGATAACTTGTAATAGTAAAATCATTTTTATATTTTTGCATTACATAAACATATGTCTCAGTCCTTTTTGCTTGTACTCAGCTTTAGTTTCTCTTTGCTTGTATTTAGTCGTAACTGAAGAATAATTCTGAAATGAAGTTATTAATATCCGGAACCTTCCTATCAATTCATCGGACTACTTACCTGCTTGACCTACTTATGCTTTATAGCATCTATGTATTATTCCAGGTTCAATACTTGGCATCTCTAGTTAAAAAGATCTTGAATAGCAGACCTGAGGCAGACTTCTGCCTAAGACATTAGAGAGCTAGTGAATCAGACCTGGGCCAGATACAGTAATGATTTAGGACGGTACAGAAGAGACATGTTTCGGTGGAAGAGTCTTTGCTTTTATCACCATATTTTACATGCAGAAAATAGTGTAAAATACTTTATATATTATATTTAGCAGCTAAATGGGGGGGGGAATACATAATACTTTAAGGGTAAGTTTGGGGATGGTAACTGTAATTTATATCAATGGCCTAATGACCCCTAAGTTCTTTGAAAGCATGGTTGCATCTCCATGTGGGGCTGGAGGCTCTCACATGGTCTGGACACCTCTAGTTTGAAAAGGGGAAGTTAATACCCTGTGAAAAGTATAACTTGTAAGGCAATAGCAATGTGAATTCCAATAACATCCTGCAATTCCAAAGAGATTTGGATAACAAAAGGTTTCAGTTATTTGGGGAGTTGATAGCATTGCACTTAATGATTATGGGTAGTGTCACCACACTTCCTCTGAATTCTTATAACCACTGGCTAACTTCTGCTTCAATATAAACAAACACTCTGCTGATATATGTTATATCTGCATGACAAGATTTTAATCTCACCTGCCATCTCGTGACCTATGCAAACTGCCATGGTAGCTACTGACTTTGCTGTGGACACTGCCCGCTTTGCTTCGCTGGTCATCCATCATAGCAAGCTGGGTAGAGGAAGCATGAGTAGAGGTCCCTTGAGTGGAGGTGCCTCTAGATTTGCGAATTATGGGTGTGTTGGGGTCTCGCAGCAGAGACTGAGCAAAGTCAGGCTCCTGCAGCACTTGCCGGCTCTCATTCACAACTCTGGGGAATAGTAAAACCAGATTAGCTCAATGTCAGAAAGACACACAACAGTGTAAAGAGACGGTAGCCAAAAACAGTCCAATGAACACACTATGCAAATCAGAGGCGCCAGGTTTTACTATATCTGTACCTAGATGGGAAAATGGTGTGTCCATCACAGAAATCTAGGCCAGTATTGTAGGGGGAGTGGGAGAAGAAGCTATTTTATATTCTTTTCACCTCCAGCATCTGTATTACATGGGTAGGATCCATTCTATTTCCTCTGCCCCTAATTTTAAAACAGAAGAACCCAGAATATGGACACCATGGTTCTTCTCACAGCAGGCAGAATCAGTTGTGTCCTTATACCTAAACCTGTCCAAAGCTTCCCATCAGCCCTAGACATGTTCACAGTGATTTACAGGAATGGCCTTTTGTCAATTAGGTAGAGAGAATTGTGACAATCTCAAGTCTGCTGCACTTTGGTGACTGGGCATTGGATGTATCTAACCAGCTTAGCCTGGGTGCTCTAGAGTGAAAAGAGTAGAAAAAGAAACCAGAATGTCTGTGTATTCATGAATTTAAGTCTTCATCACTGCCAGTGCTCAGACTCCCTAGGTGTGTGAAGGAGGCAGATCACAACAAAGTTTCAAGAGTAACTGATCTTCATAACCTCCCTCCTCTGTAAAGGTCCAGTGCATCCTGAAGACCATCATCTAAAAACTAGAAAAATACATAAGTCATCTCCTCCTCAAACCCTATATTCCTGCTTTTTAGGGACACTACCACAAGAATATCCTTGAGATAGCACAAGCAGGTAGCACCAAAAATCACAATCTAAACTGCAAAGTGGTTCTTCCTCAGAGATACTGTTGAACTGATAAGAAAGTTTCTGGGTAGAACGTTGGGTATCTTCTGAGCAGTATTAGGAATATTGTCCATGAACTATGAATAACTGCTTTATCAGAATTAGAAATTCCTAAATTCTAGCAGTTCCAATCTGCCGCTTTGCCTCCTTTTACATTATTAGAACTTACTCTTTTTTCCTGCGACCATGAAAAAAGCTGGCCCACTCAAAACAGGTCTTTTTACTTCCAACCCAGAAGACTGATTCTGTTTCAGAATCTTCCTCAGGGAGTTCAACAATAATTTTCAGCACAAGGTTGCCAAATACAAAAGTTTTAATGTATTGTGATCAAGATGATTAAGATGATATATGAAGAAATTATTGTAAAAATATTTTTCAAAAAATATAAAATTATTTATGATAGGTTATAATCATTTGTGCACGGTATTTGTTGTATGATAGAATTCATGGGGGCAGTCAGACTGGTGGCAGCATAGTGCTTCACTGCATTTTCTTGGTTGAGGAAACACAGGGAAGTCCTACAGCTGCTAGTGCCTCTGTGCCTAATTATCTGGAGCAAGACGAAAATGAATCCGGATTGGTAGCAGCCACAGTGTCTGCTGTTGCCTCTGCATCCTAGCCAGGGGTGGGGGTGGGGATTCTGGATATTAGAACGTTGGGTATCTTCTGAGCAGTATTAGGAATATTGTCCATGAACTATGAATAACTGCTTTATCAGAATTAGAAATTCCTAAATTCTAGCAGTTCCAATCTGCCGCTTTGCCTCCTTTTACATTATTAGAACTTACTCTTTTTTCCTGCGACCATGAAAAAAGCTGGCCCACTCAAAACAGGTCTTTTTACTTCCAACCCAGAAGACTGATGGGATCCCCACTATAAGAGCCATCAGGTATTTCATCAGAAAGAGGATCAGGTCTGGGCGACTCATCTGGGTGACCTGGAGAAGGATGAGAAGAAAGAAAGTGAGGCAAACAACTGAAGTACATTGTTTCATTTGTTAACTCATTTAAAATAGACATTATATGGGGGAAAGGCTAGACCACTCTCAGCTGAATCCCTTGATTTCCCTCTTATAGGTAAATATGAAGAAAGCTGAATCAGCTTGGATTTAAACTTAAGCCATTTAAAGTTAACCAGAAATACATTTAAACAGGTTCCTGAGTTGTAATTTAGATACTTCCTAAATATGAGAATACAAACATTAGAACAAGCTAGCAACATTGGCGTGGGAAGGACCTATGTGCCATAATCTCACACTAGTGCTTCGTACAAACCATACTGGAGTGGCATGCGGAACAGCCATCTAGAAGCAGCTCTTGACCTGTTCAGAAGGCATGAGCAACCATGAGAACAGCCGCAGGGTTATCATCTCTATAAAATGCATGGTTCCATGGCAGAAAAAGAACATGCTCCCAATTGAGATCAAGGCCCTGAGGGACTTGCTACAATTTCACAGGGCCTGCAAAATGAAGCCGTTCTGCCAGGCCTTTGGTTGAGGCGGTGGCCCTGAGGGACTTGCTACAATTTCACAGGGCCTGCAAAATGAAGCCGTTCTGCCAGGCCTTTGTTTGAGGCGGTGGCCCTGAAGGACTTGCTGCAATTTCACAGGGCCTGCAAAATGAAGCCGTTCTGCCAGGCCTTTGGTTGAGGCGGTGGCCCTGAGGGACTTGCTTCAATTTCACAGGGCCTGCAAAATGAAGCCGTTCTGCCAGGCCTTTGGTTGAGGCGGTGGCCCTGAGGGACTTGCTACAATTTCACAGGGCCTGCAAAATGAAGCCGTTCTGCCAGGCCTTTGGTTGAGGCGGTGGCCCTGAGGGACTTGCTACAATTTCACAGGGCCTGCAAAATGAAGCCGTTCTGCCAGGCCTTTGGTTGAGGTGGTGGCCCTGAAGGACTTGCTACAATTTCACAGGACCTGCAAAATGAAGCCGTTCTGCCAGGCCTTTGGTTGAGGCGGTGGATGTTTCCACCATCTTGGCCTCCCCTGCACATAGTAGGCCTACAGATGTCTACTATCCTGCTAATGTCTAACAGGAAGCATATTGGGCTGCTCTGGAGTAATGTTATGTCTTTTAGTTACCATCCTGTTTTATTTAACTGGTTTTAAATGGCTGTGGCACAACTCTGCACACAGGTTCAACCTCTGGCATCTCCAGTTAATAGGATTCAGTAACATGTAATGTGAAAGATCTCTAGCTAGACCCCAGAGAGTCACTGACAGTTAAAGTAGACTATACTGACCTTGGTAGATCAATGGGTCTCACTTGGTATGAGGCAGCTTCATGTGTGTAGTAAAATAGATCACAACCACTTCTGAGTCCAGGTAGAGGATTACAGCAAGCAGAGAGAGGGAGCAGAACTTTCTCCTTGCCTGTGGTAATTTTTTATTTATGCAGAGTTTTTTCATATGAATGCTTCTGTGATTATCCAGAAATATGTGGGTACAGCCTTTGAACTGTTATGCAGCACAGTTCTTGTATACAAATGACAATGGTCATCTTGATAATCATCAGCCCTATTTTTGAAATGAAATAGAACTGGTTCTCCTGCAAATGTTACCCTTAGGAAACTTTCAGAGCAGCCCCGCATGATTAATCAGACAAGAAAGAAACAGAGTCACTGTCAAAAGTCATCAGCATCAATTAAGCTTCTAGGGCAGAAAATTGGTAGCAATGGGATTAGAGAAATGACATGCAAAGGATGGACAATGGAGAAATGGTTGACCCCACTTGATGTGACTGGAACCCAGAGAAAGAAAGCCTTGTAAAAATATACACATAGTTTGCTCTCTCCCAGCCCCACGCTCTTAGTTGATGCTGTGGACTTGGCCAAAAATCAGCACCCAATAGCAAGCAAAGAACAGAATGTTGGGATTTTCCCAGTTCCATAGTAATAATATTGCAACTGAGCAGACAACAAATAGCTTCTGATCTAGGCAATTTTACTCTCAGAATAAAATTTTAACACACAAATGGATCTGAACATCCCCTCCCCCCCGGGGACGAGAAGTGGACATTTGAGCGGAGAGCCAGTTTGGTGTAGTGGTTAAGTGAGCGGACTCTAATCTGGGAGAACTGGGTTTGATTCCCCACTCCTCCACTTGCACCTGGCTGGATGACCTTGGGCAAGCCGTAGTTCTGATAAGAGCTGTTCTTGAAAAAGAGCAGTTTCTGTCAAGAGCTCTCTCAGCCCCACCTACCTCACAGGGTGTTTGTTGTAGGGAGGGGAAGGGAAAGGAGTTTGTAAACCGCTCTGAGACACCTTTGGGTAGTGAAGGGCGGGGTATAAATACAATCTCCTCCTCTTCTTCTTCTCTTAATTCATGCCTTCCGTTCTACCTGGGTCCCACTCTACTCACAACAGGGAGACTATCCAAACTGAAAGGTCTCCACTGACCTTGGGAAACTGAAAGCTTAAATTTCCCAAGATTAAATGAGACTCCCACATAAAGTACCTTCTGTTGTTTACTATGGCACAAGCAATGCTCCTTCTAAGCTGTGGAGTCTTATGAGCAAAAATTCTACTTTGTGAGCTCCTGACATTAAAGTTGTGAGTGAGTCAGAGGTCATTTCGGGGGGGAACGCAGTTCCCCGGGGTGAGATGCAGGGGGGCGGGGCACATGATGAAGCCCCGCCCCCTGCTTCCGGCCACCCCGCTTCCAGCCCTCATTCAGCCAGGAGGAGGCAGGAGAAGAGGGAGGGTAAGTTGCTTCCTCCCTGCCTCTCCCCACCCCTGCCTGCCTGGGGCCAGGGAGGGCCTTGGCGGGGCTTCCTCGCACTCCCGCTGGCCTTGCAGGTCCACTGCCGGGCCCCTGATGTCAGGGGGTGTGGCATATGCTAATGAGTTATGCTAATGAGTTCTCCTAGCTCTTTTTCTACGAAATGACCCCTGGAGTGAGTGATTTGGCTGCTGCTCTGGAGCCATCCTTCCTGAGCTAAGGAAAAATGTGTGAGCCGGTGGCTAAAGAATTGTGAGCTAGCTCAGCTTAGAGGGAACACTAAGCACAAAGTAAAGGGGAGAGAGCAGAAGAGGACCTAAAATCCATTCCTAGACTCTTCTATGGAAGAAGTAAAATATCTAGAAAAGCCTAATGAGTTCAGACTTTGACTAAGATGGAAAGTTATATACACTTTCATTTTCCTCATATAAATTAGTTTGACTCAGGAGAGTTGCCAGCTCTTGCTCGCTTATATAATAAATTACTTCTATCAAACTGCTTAGAGCTAGACCAGCAGTTACCCGGGGAGGAATACAACAGTTCTCAAGGAACAGCATGACAAGGATAAAATACCACTGCTGCAATTTAAAAACAAAACAGAAAATGGATATGCATATATGCTTGTGGGCAGTCTTCCTCAGTAATAGCTCCCATCTTGTAGCAGCTCAAGAAAACTGAGAGTGAACCAGTTAAGTCAGGGGAAAGTTCCACAGTAAACAAGGACTCTGCAAATGATCACTGGCATCATAGCATTTGCAATGTGCAAAGTTTCAGCTGGCAGCCAGTGAACACAGAAGTCCCTAGAGAAAGAGTGGGCAATTTACCACTATTGTCTGTATACTTTTCCCTGGCTCTTTGTGCATTGGTGGCTATACCTCAGGCAGATTCCATCTGCTTGTGAGTAGAAGACCACAGCAGACTACATATTATACACTCGAATCATTTGTTACGTTTTTGTACTTTGCTCTGTCTCTGAGGAACATCTTCTCAGATACAGGTATTGCCTGGTGAGGCCCTGCTTAGCACATTACCAATGGCAGATGTTTTACAAATGTTTTACATGATGCAGGTAGGTACAAAGACTATATGTGCTCCCCTCTGAAGCACACTTGGCACTGCCCCTTACTGTTTTTAGGTATTTATAATCTTCCACCAAACCTGTGGCTTGACCTAAGGCAGACCCTACCTTTTTGATAATTAGCACTGCTGCTTTTATCACAGCGAAGAACCTATTAAATTTTTTTGACTTGAGGTCTCCAAGGCAATTGATAAAGAATTATTAGCTATTTTCCCCAACCCATTTTTTTCAGACTCTTCCTCTAAAGAAATCGGTGGTGTACAATGTCCTTCCTTCCACCATGTTAACCTCTCAACATCCTTAAGAGATTAAGGGATAGGTTTGTTTTTTTATTTGTTTGTTTTTTACCCCACCGAGGCAGGCTCAGGGCGCAGCCGCCGGGATGGCTGCTAGTAGTGGCTTGTCCCTCAGGTGGCTCGGAAGTGGCTGGCGGTGTCCCGAAGGTGGGGGCCAGTCCAGGGTTAGGCGCTGGAGCGGAACTAGGGGCAGGAACTGTGGTCGTGTCGCACTCCGCTGGTCCCGATGCTAATCCCTCTGAGTCTGGCTCACCCTCGCTGTCCTCAGCTTCCTGGGATTCCTGGTCAACTAAGAGCTGCAGGCAGCGGCGTAGTTGGTCCACGTGCCTCTGGATTAGCTGGCTGTCTTCGGTCGAGACCTCGTAAGAGAGAGGCCCTGTCACCCTTACTACCCGGGCTAGGATCCATGGTTGACCCCTGGCATAGTTCCGGGCATACACTCGACAAAGAAGCTGGTGCTTCTTGTGGTACCGAGCCTGGGCTGTGGTCGGGGGGCCTGGTCCAGATGTAGGCGGTCTAGCCTGGTCGTTTAGCGGCGACCCATCAAGAGTTCTGCAGGACAGCAGCTGGTGGCAGTGTGCGGTGTGGTCTGTTGGCCGAACAGGATGGCGGCTAGCCGGTAGTTCCATTTGCCTTGGACAATTCGGTGGAGCGCCTCTTTGGTCGTACGCACCATTTGTTCTGCCTGCCAGTTTGTTGCTGGGTGAAATGCTGCGGAGTGGACGTGCCGAATTCCATAATATTGTACAAAGTCCAGGAATTCGGCAGGTACTTCCTGGTGTGTGTGGAGACCTTGGGTACCTGAACCTAGTGGTCGGGGAGGTCCTTCAGCAGTAGAATCTGGTGTGCGGGAGCGGAGTCTGGATCGCAGACAGGCAGCGGGAGTCGGCTGAGGGTATTGGCGTGACCCATTGCTTTGCCCAGCCGATGTAGGAGGGTGTATTGGTAACCTGCTAGGAAAATAGACCACTGCAGCACTCTTGGGGAAAACATCTGGGGTGTCTGGCAGTCAGGGGCCAATAGGCCCAACAGCGGCTCGTGGTTTGTGACGACGGTGAAGGGCCAGCCGTACAGGTAATCATGGAATTTACGGACCCCTGCCATGATCGCCAATGCGTCAATTTGCATGTAGTTGCGCTCGGCAGAAGACAAGGTGCATGAGTAGTAGGTGACGAGGACCTCGTGGCCATTGGCCAGTTGGTGCCCCAGGACAGCCCCCACTCCATATGGCGATGCATCGCAAGCTAGCACCACAGGGAAAATGGGCCAGGACAGCGTTTGAAGTCAGTAAGTCTTTAACTGCCTGGAAAGCTGCAGCATGTTGCAATGCCCATTTCCACGGAGCATGTTTGTCCAGGAGGCTGTGCAGGGGCTCAACCATGGCCGCCTTGTGCAGGAGGAAGGAATAATAAAAATTAAGGAGGCCAAGGAAGGCCTGTAACTCAGACTTGAAAGTGGGGGTGGGTGCTTCTATGATGGCCTTGATCTTGTCCAGCATGATGCGGATGCCGCTGGCGTCGACCTTGAATCCCAGGAACTTGATGCCGGGGACCCCGAGCAGACACTTCTCCTGCTTTACTTTCAGCCCCGCTGCGTTGAATCGCTGAAGGACGGCACGAAGACAGTCGAAGAAGGCTTTGGACGACGGTGCCGCAATCAGAACGTCGTCAAAAAAGGGTTGTACTCTGGGGATCCCTTTTAGTAAACAGTCCATCATATTTTGAAAAATCCCCAGAGTGACACTAACTCCAGATTGCAGACGCCATACCTTAAATGCCCCCTGGTGTGTCACAATGGTCTGGGCCTCTGCTGTAGCTTCGTCTACTGGCAGTTGCCGGTAGGCTTGAGCTAAGTCCAATTTGCCGAAGATCTGCGTGCCAGCCAGGGATGCCAAGACGTGGCTGACCATGGGAACGGGATACACGTAGTCTTAGAGGACTTTATTTAAGGTGCATTTGTAATCGGCACAAAATGTGAACGTCCCCGTTACATTTGACTGGGGTGACAATTGGGGTTTCCCACTTTGCGTGGGGTACTGGTTCCAGGACCCCTTGGCTAACCAGGTGGTCGAGTTTGGCCTCAATTTTGGGCTGGAGAGTGAATGGGGGCCGCCAGGCTTTCAGACGGAGTGGGCGGACAGTTGGATTGAGAGTCAGGGCAACCGGGGGCCCGGTGTACCGGCCAAGCGATCTGTCAAAAATGGCTGGGAACTCCTCGCACACCTTGCTGAAATTCCCTGATGCACATTTTGTATCCTGGTGACAGCCAGACCCAAGGCGTCGAACCAGGCTAGCCCCAGTGGACTTGTGAGATGACCCTTAACCACAACCAGTTCCAATGGGCCTTCAAATGACTTGTATTTTATGCGGAACTGGCCCACCCCTTTAATGGCTATGGAGTTCTTTTGGAAGTCCCTTAGCACTAGGCCAGTGTCTTCCAGCGAGGGCCCTCCCATGGGGCAGAGCGTGGGGAGGGTCTCCTCCGAGATTATCGAGAGGGAGGACCCATTGTGCACAGGGCACCCACTTTCAAGACAGTCACTTTAATCTTATTGGAGAACCCCCAGGGTAAGAAATGTATCTGGTTGCAATGCATCGAGGTGCTGTGGAGTTTCGCTGTTTCCTAGTGTGTGGTGGTGCGGCAGTTGCTTCCCTTGGAGCGGCAGACATAGGCGATGTGGCCCAGCTTTCCACAGGAGTGGCAGACGGCATCCTGAAAACGGCAGGACCTCCGTTCATGTGCTTCTCCACAGCTTGCGCAGGCTGCCAGTGTGCTGGAGGATGCCACGGATGGTGACGGGCGAGAGTCATGGCGAGCAGGCCAATGGACCTGCAGCTCCTCTTCCTCATCTGAGGAGGCTGGGGCACCCCTGGGGATACCTGGTGCGTTGCATCAGATGGCGGACGATCCTGATGTGTTCTCTCGAATGTGTTGGCGGTCTGGAGTGCTGTCTCGAGCTTGAGGTCGGCGGTTCCCATGAACTTTCTGCGGATCGCGGATGCCCCAGATGAACTGCGTAAGGATGATTTCCTCGACCCCTGGCAGCTCGCAGTCAATGGCTAGCTGGCATAGCTCGGCCATGTAGATGGTGGCCCCTTTTCCCGACTTTTGCGTTCGCGCCCATAAGTCCATGCGCCTCGTCATTTTTGTGGGCTTTGGTGCGAAATACTCATTCAGGACCTTTAGGAGGTCCATGGAAGTTTTGTCGGCCAATGTCGCCGGAGCTATGAGCCCCTTGGCCAGACGGATGGTGGATAACCCACACAAGCTTAGGAGTAGGGCCTGTTTCTTACCGGCGTCGGTAATGTCGTGGAAGGTGAGGTAGTTCGTCAGCTGGTCCACCCAGGTTTCCCAGAACTCGGGATGCATGTGGTTGAATACATTGATGGCTCCCGGAGCTGCAGCCATGACTTGAGGACGGTGTGGGGAGCGATGATCAGGGGAACGGGGCGCAGTGTGATGCTGCTGGGGGAGCGATGTGGTGCGTGGTGTCCTACTGATCGGTGCTCAGTGCCAGTCCGGAGTTGGAGTTGGGCTTGCTCAACGGGATCCCACCTTCGTCGCCAGTGAAATGTACTGAGTGTGGAGGCTCAGAATGGTGAAATCAGCTCAAGTTTATTAGGTTACATCACAATGGAAGATAAACTAGGCGGTCCGAGGCTGGCTTATATACGTGTCCACACTCACACCTAACACACCCCCAATTCCCTTGATAGGCTGTATTTACATGGCCCAAGTTTCTATAGGTCCCTTTCAGGATCCGGGTGAACCTATTGGTCCACACTAGGATCCGAGGTGGCTATTGTTCTTGGACTGAAGGTTAGTAGGTCTGCCAGACAGCATGGCCAGGCTAGCGTAGCCGTGGCCATCTTAATACATAACAGCATGAGTGTGTGACTGGCCTGAAGTTGCCAGGGAGCTTTAGGTCTGAATGGGGCCTTGATCATGAGCTTCCTCAGTCTGAGTCCAAAACTAGCCACTGCACCCCACGGGGCTCATTGTGAAGTACAATGGCCAAGACACTGTCTCAGCCTAACACTGTGAACAAGCTTTGAACTTAAGGATCCAACAACATGCTCCTTTTGCTTCTTTCCCAAATGTAGCTGCTAGTGGATTCAATGTGCTATTTGAATGGTACACAATTTCTTTTTAAGGAGGCAAAAGCAAGGACTAAAAACAAGAAACAACCTCACCATGGTAGCAGCAGCCCTTGACTTTTAGTACGCAGTACCAAAAACATTCAATTTATTTGCTTAAGACCATAGAGAGTCATAACAAGCTAAGGAGTTATACCAGTTGATTCAGTGTAATCTGTTCCACAAGAGAACTCCACTTACTTTCACATTTGTAAGATAGTCCCTGCCACAGTATTAAATTAGAGCTCCCTTCTTAGTCTTTATTGTCTTAACAATTTGCCTTTACATAGAGGTAAAAAAATACTTATTGTTCATGTTTAGAGACAGGACCTTTTCAATAGCCGTACCATTTGTGGAATGCTCTCTCTTTCAGGAAATTTCCGTTGTCTACTCTGTTTTATTTTAGGTGCCCAATTAAGACAACGTTTCTTGCCAGGCTTTTGAGTTTCTTCCCTATCTTAAACTGTTCTGTTGCCCTGGCTATTTTTTCTTTATTTTACAGCCCATACCATCCAGCGGTGTTATTTTGCTGGCCCTGCTTCTTCAAATTCCGTGCTGACTTTTGTTGTGTATTGAATTTGTTGTTGTTGCAGTTGTTCTGCTGGTGTGGAGTCATTTTTATGATTTAGTGAATCTTGGTTATTTTAAATTGCTGATTGTTTTTATAGCCTTAATAGTTTTATGATGCATAAATATCTTCTTTAAGTATCCGCTTTTTATGGGCTCTTATTTTGCACATTCTACTGGGTTTCTATTCTGAGTGTTAAAGTCACAGTAGATAATATAACTATACCTTCACAGCACTATTCTTCAAAAGGTGTACACTACTGGAAAGGGATGCCAAGGACCACCTACCTGTAACGTTTGGTGTTTGGGAGACTAGGTGGATAGGGATCGGGTGTAGATGCATGAAAATATAAGCTTCCTTACCTGATAGGGGCAGGGTATATGATATTCTTTGCACCGTTCTTGGATCCACGTTGTCTCCCACACACCTCTGTAAGCCTGCTCATAGAAATAGCAGCCGATCACAACCAAGAGTGGTACCAGGTAGAGAACACTGAAGATGCCAATCCGGATCATGAATTTCACCAACTTGTCTTGGTTCTCCTTCTCTAAAGGAATTTCAATGCGTACTCGATTTAAGGAGATAATGCCAGCTAGTAACAGAGAGACTCCAACCACCACATACAGGCAGAGGGGAGCAAGAACAAAGTATCTCAAAGAATCCACGTCATAGAGGCCAACAAAACATACGCCACTAATGTTGTCACCTTCGATTTTATTCATAGCTAGAAGGATGATGGTGAGGGTTCCTGGGATACCCCACGCACTAGCATGGAAAAGCAGGGCTTTCTTCTCAATGGCTTCGCTGCCCCACTTTGGCACAGCTGCCAAGAACCAAGTTATAGTAAGAATCACCCACCAGACACTCCCAGCCATGGTAAAGAAATAGAGCACCATAAAAAGCATGGTGCAAGCTTTGTTGTGAGAGCCCTGTGTCACTGTGGAAGCCTTGTACACATTGGGGCTAGAGGGATTGCAGGAAACGCGGTCTTCTAGCAAAAAGCCAATGAAGAAAATGAGAGATACCATCATGTAGCAGACAGCATAGAATATTATAGGCCTTTCTGGGTAGCGAAATCTCGTGACGTCAATCAGAAAAGTCAAGAAAGTAAATAAGGTGGCTGAAAGGCAGACAATGGAGATCACGCCAATGAAGTATCGTGCAAAAGAGAGCTCTTCACGCCTAAAATACATATTTGGACATGGGGGGGAGCAGTCTCGTACCCTCAGGAATGTGTAACCCAAATCAGGATCTATTTTTAACTCTCGGGGGCACCAGAAGCCATAGTCCCTTTGCACTGCTACCAGCACCTCTTCTGTTGGCTCTCCAACTACACTGAGATCGATGGGACGGGGGTAAGGCTCATCACAATCTGGGAACCTATAACAGGGAACAAAAATAAAGCCTATTGAAGCAAGTTTACATACACATTTATTGATGACTACAAAATAATCAAGCAGCTTTCTTGCCTTGGTTCCCTCAAGTGAGAATAGTTTCAGAGGGGTACTGTAATATTGGATAGTAATAATGTCATGTCAAGCTCTTGGGGCAGACATTACTTACTGTTTAAATGATCAAGCAGGCCCTGTGCAATCTCAGACTCTGATCTTCACTAAGGAACTCTGGTTTTTACTAACATCTACTGGGAGCATGCAGACCAAGATCTATCTGATCATTTCTAATTGGTGTAAGAACTTCAGTCCATTTCCAAGTCCTGTCAATGTAAACTTCTTCTCTCTACCCATTCTCTTCTCCCTGTCCTAATCCTAGAAAACCACACAGGCTTTGATGTCAGTCATGATATGAAAAAAAAAATGCAGGACTCTGTGAATACAACAAATGGGACAGGGAAGTGTTCACTTACCCCACCCCCCACAAATAGATGGAATGCACTGGGGGGGGGGAGGCTTTAGGCTACTTGAGAGATAAAACATTCCTTATTTGAGAATTGGTGCTTGGGACAGAGACAACTTGAGCTGAGTGCCAAGCACAGCAGAACACTAGCTGCCTGATTTCCTGTCAATTTATTATGACTGAGTTTCCTGACCCAACACAAGCCAGACCATTTCTCTCAGTCTCTACCCATTTGGCTAAGCTAGAAAAAAGGAGGAAAGCGTCCACTCATCAAGAAATTAACAAAAGCTAACTCATCCTAATGGTTGAGTGATTACTCTCATCATTAAAACCTTGTAATGCTTCCCTAGCCAGTCTGTCTCAACTGGCTTGGATGTATTTTATTTGTGAACTTCAACTCTTACAAAAACCATTGCTGGGCACATTGATTTGTTTTTTCTAAGGCAGCAAAAGGCTTAGGATTACTCAAGATAAGACAAAATTTTGCAAAGCTGATTGAAAGTTCAACTTCTTGTCATTCAATGGTTAACTAAATTTGGTCATCCACACCACACACTCAGAGAGAACAGGAAAGAAATGGTTAGAAGAATGGAACTTGTATGCCAATTTGACTTGGGGGGAAAAGGTAAGTTTTAAAGTCTGTCATAGTCTGACAACTTAAAGGATTTGTTTTGTCTTGGTAATAACCAATGCCACAACTGGGCACAAATATTTAAAATGGTGTTAACTGTGATGGGGTGCAAGTAAGCCACACTAGTGCCTCAGCAGAAACACACTAGTCTAGTCTGAGAACAAACTTAATTTATATATCCTAGAACATACTGAAAAAGTGTCTGCGAGTGTTAAATGCCATCAAGTCGCTTCTGACTTATGGTGACCTTATGAATTAATGACCTCCAAAACATCCTATCCGTAATCAGATCTTGCAAACTGAGGGCCATGGCTTCCTTAAAAATAGCTGGCAATTAAACAAAGTAAAAATGGAAGGGCTCACCTACTGCATTCCATATCCTCTGGCCAAGACACACCAAACATCTCCATGAGTTTTGAGCATTCTGTATAAGCTCGTTGACAAATCCTGCGACAAGGGAGGGTAACTCTACCATACTCCATGCAAACAGGAGCATATAGAGCACACAAAAATGGCCGAAAATCACGGGAACATTCCAGGTTCACCATTGGATGGAATGGCTATAAAGAGAGTAAAAACAAACAAACTAAATACTTCCAGGCTATCATTTAAAACAATAAAGTAGATTCAGCCTTGTGAAACAATCTGGGTGGTTATCACAATCCAACATCTGCTTTTCTCCCCAAAGCTGAACACAGACACTAAGATCATAATACAGACAGTGGAGGTAACAGACTTGAACAGAATGCCAACAAGTATTTGTAAGAATGAGCATCATGCATTGTGGCAACTTTCTAATTGCTTTCATTTAAACTGCCAAGCCTTAAAGATGGCAACTTTCTAATTGCTTTCATTTAAACTGCCAAGCCTTAAAGATGTCCATGTTGCTTCTGTGTGGAGTTTGGTGGGCAGCAAGTCATGAAAACCGATCTGAACAAGATCTCTTTTATAATCTGTACCTACTCTCCTCAGAGGAGTATTAGGAAAATTTGTATACCACCTTTCTATCATTAAAAAAGCATCAAAGCAATTTATAAAATTAAAAGCTTGCCTGTTTTGCCATAATAATCTAGGGATAAATATATTTACCCTCTACTCTGTGCTTTGCATTTGGTCAAAATATTCAGGCAGCTGAAACTTTCGCTTGTTCTTCCTTGTAATTAGCTTCAGAAAAAAAAATTAAAGACATTACACCTCTTGTATGTTTGTGCCAACTATGAACAGTGTGTCAATTTCCTCTAACAACACACTTACTGCTGGATTCCATGGATCTGTTCTGCTAATGGCAGTGCTTTCCTCCGGTGTAGGAAACAATGCTATAACTCAGGGCCAGAATGGTGTAGAGGATACAGTGTTGATTTGTACCACAAAAGCCTGGAGTTCAAATCTCCATTTAGCTGTAAAGCTCACTGGGTGGCCTTAAGACCATCTCACAGGCTTAATATGAGCATACAGTGAAATAATGTATGCCACTCTGAATTCCTTGGAGGAAGGGTGTGCTGCAAATGTGATAACACATCTCCACACCCCAATAAACCAGCTAGCCATAAAAAGAAGTGAATGGAAAGCTGTCAGCAAACACTAGAGTTGCCAGTGCTCCCAAGGAATGTGCAAAGGAACCAGTGCTATAATATATGCAGATTTTAAACTAGCCATTATATACTCCCCCCAAAAGTGCACACAAAAATCCATTCCAGCACTCTTCTTTGAAAAAGATGGAGCATATTCTTTGTAATCATCTAAGGGCAAGTCCATCCTTCACATTACCTCTACTTAATGTATTTTTAATTCTATTTTAATTCTAGAAAAGAAAAAGCAGTTTTTCTAGAACTTAGTTGCTTAGGTTGAATTATGCATTAGGCTTCCACTGAGCTTAGAGGCTCAAATAGCTGCATTGGTTCAAAGCAAAATACAAAAACAAAAGCCACATACTACCTTTTACTAGAACTAATAAAAATAATGTATTGCAATACTTTGAGGTTGGATGGGAGTAAAGAAGTGATGGCCAGAAATAATAGGAAAAACTGATAAAACAGACCTGATTTCCCCCATTTCCCCCCAAGTATCTTTTCCATTTTTCCCATTGAAAAATTGGAAAATTCGGCAGAGTGCTGGAAAAAACCCTTCTATGAAATATTTATCCAATCTATTAATTTAATATTGTTCCTGTTGCTCTGTGGTACAAAACTCAGTTTATAATATTACTTAGTGATTATTTCATAGTGCTTTATGCTTTAGATTTTATTTGCTCTTGGCATTTATACCAGTGTAACTTGCTATTTATCTCTATGGTACATTTGTATTGTGTGACTGTCTTGACAATCACTGACACATCTTAATTGCTTTTGCTCCATAACTGAGTTAATACTACCCTTTATAATTTCTTATAACTGAGCACTGTTTAATTTACCTTGCATTTGGGTTGAAGTGATCTTTGTTAGCGATATTTCAATATCTGTTGTTTATCACTTGTTTCTAACATCACCTTGAACTTAGCTTTTCTTGTTAGCTTATCATTGTGCTCACTGTAAACAATCTACTTTGTTTGGTGCCTGAGTACACACACACAACCAGGCTTATGCACAGTAGAGTCACACACTAACACATTCCATTTACTCTGTTTAAAGGTCCTCTTATGGCACAAGGATACCTCATACAACACCACCACACATAAACCACATAACGATAGGTAACACACTAAGGACCAATAAGAGACAGGGACATACGTACCGGGATAAGTACACATACCGATACCAATACATTAGAGAGAGGAAGAAGACAAACACCACCTGGCACAAACCACATATACGTGCCCATCCATACACACTCACATGCATGCTCATATACACAAAACTTACACGAATTAAGTAAATCACATTATAAGTGCAAACGACAACACCCACACAATCATAACTAATAAGTAATTCACCTGATACTTACCTTACGACTCTCAAACATGACTCAAACCTGGAATGCCTTGTCCCTTAATGTTCGAGAACTCAACAACGCCATCAAGAGAAAACGTATTATCAACAACTTGTCTAGATTACAGGCAGACATCATTCTTTTTCAAGAAACCCATCTACGCTCTTCCATACAACACACACTGAAAGCAAACTGGATTCAGCAGTCTAGATTCCAACATCAAGCAACCAAAGTGGATCCTAGAGGGCGTTTCCTCTCTATCAAAGGGATGGTAGAAGATCAGAAAGTCACCATCGCATCCATCTATGCGCCCAATGATAATCAACTGACTTCATTGAAGAAACACTGATCAATCAGAGATCTTTCCAAGATGGTGATGTTATCTTAGAGAGAGATCTAAACCACATTATTGACAATAATCCAAATAATTCACATTCCAACAAATGACTATCTAGAAAAACTAATTCACTCACTAAACTTTCCAACATTCTTCAAGAATTCTGTTTTTTTGATGCCTGGCAATACGTGAATCCATCGGTCAAAGATTACACCTACTATTCATCACTCCATGATATTTACACCCAAATTGATTACATTCTCATCTCAGATTCACTGAGAGACGACATCTCAGAAGCTACAACAGGTGTTCTTTGGTCTGACCATGCATGGGTCAACTGCCAGCTGAAGACACACTCTGATGCACCACGTATCAGACAAGGGTCCTTCAACAGCCATCTTATTTAATAAAGTTTATTCTGACAAAATTGAGCATAGGATCAAACAATATCTTCAAACAAACTGTACCAACAATGTTTCATCCTCTGTAATATGGGATGCCCTCAAAGCGACAAGAGGTCAGCTCATCTCCTTAACATCTTCGTTAAAAACCAAATAAGCTTTTAAAAAGGAATTGACAACCAGGATAACTCATCTTGAACGTTTTCACAAACACAGAGAGAGTAAACATATCTATTGGAATCTCATCACTCAACGTAAACATTTGGAAACACTTGAAAGCTCCAACATCCAAAAGAATCTCTTATTCCTGAAGCAAAAATATTGGATTACCTCCCCCAAATCCCTGAAGATCCTCTCCTAGAGGATGAAAAACTGGAAATCATCCACTTCCATTACAACAGCATGAGATGCAAAAGGAAACTTACATTCCAAATCTACAGCCATGAATGAAGTCTTTACAGAGTTTTATCGCTCTTGATACTCTTCTTAAAAACCCTCATGCTCACTCTTGATACTCTTCTAAAAGACCCTCATGCTCTAAGATCAGGGACTCTGTGACTACACATTCTCATCTCAGCAAACTTACTGATAAACACCATCAAATCCTAGAGAACTCAATCGAGCAACACGAGGTCTGTCAAACTCGAGCATCTGACACCAGAATGGGCTGGTTGAATTGGTTGCATTGTCCATGCTTGAATTACACTGCTTGTATTCTGTATCCTTATCGCTGCTCTTGTTTGCCATTGAATTCCTGAGGGGGAGGGGGAGTGTGTGTAGTTCGCTAGGGAGGATTGCTTGGTAATTTTCCTAAGGGCCCCCAAGACATCTTTCACACAAGAAATGTCCTTGGAGAAGACTGTGCCTGGCTAGATAGTGATTGTATATCTTTCAGAGTCACTGTAGTAATGCTGACATAGGTGTGCATGGAATTTTGGGGTTTCTACCTATATCTTGTCCTTTCCCGCCTTTGCAAATCGGTCCTAAGAAACAGCTTGAACCCACACCATCTCATATCTCTCCCTTATATATAAAGCCGTAGTGGGGCCCAACGTTCCAATTCACACCAACAGTGTTTGGAGGCTTGAACCGTCAGTCAGAAGACGCTGGCTGGGTTGCCTGGCTGCTTTGTGTAGTCCCGCCCACGTCAGCCCCAGCCAGAGTGTTCAGGTCAGTCTGCTCTGGGCCTCTGACAGGAGAGGACCATCTGCAGACTGAGTGCAGGGACGGGGCTTCTACGGCTGGGCCGCTTCAGCCCACTCTTCTCTGATTGGGCCAGCATTTCAAGGTCATTTGCATATGGAAGTTGATTGGACTTCACTCCATTCCACACCTCAAACTCCCTCCCCCCCTCCGCAAGACAGTTGGCATTGTCAGTTGCATATGGGACCTGCTGTATTCTGAGGTAAAATATGTCCTCACTCACAACACATCACTTCCCCTTCAACAGAAACAAACCCAATAACACAATCATGCCACACCACAAAAAAGACAGATCACACCACAAGCAGAATACCACAAGGCAAAAAATGATAGGAAAAGGTGCCAGCAGTCACCCCATTACTGCCACAGATATGTACCTGAGAGCGCTTCAGAGGATGGTGTGCAGGTCCCAGGTTCATGTTTTAAAAGCTGCCTGGGGGGTTATGGACCATACACACACTTTCAACCTTAACATACCTCACAGGGTTGTTGTGCCGATCATACGGGGGAGAGGAGAATGATGTCAGCTGCTTTGGTTCCCACTGCAGGGAATGACTGCCCTTTCCCTAGGCAGAGGCTGCGGGGGGGGGGGAATGTAAACC